TAGAAGATAGAGGCCAGGGGTTGTGCTAAAACCCTACGATGCAGAGGACAGCACCCAAGGACCAGGAAAGAATTACCTGGCCCCAAATGTGAACAGTGCCAAGACAGAGAATTCTCAGTGTAGACGAAATCCTCGTATATGTCCCTTTGAAAGAAAGACGACACTCTGTATAACGAAACTTTATTACTGTTACTAACACAAGAACGCTGTTTTCACTCAAGAAACTGGGAAAAGGGGAGAAGCAGGCCTTCCCGCTAAGTGTGTCTCCGGGAGAAGGCGGGCAGGGGGAGGGCAGGAGGAAGCCCGAGGTTTGGATCGCAGCCCCGTGGGCTCAAGGGAGGTGGGTCTGGGGCCTGGGCGGAGCTGCTGCCCGGGCGGTGAGGGCTGGCTGCCGGGGACGGTCACTCGTGCGGGGGTAGAGCGGGGGCCAGCGGGATAAAAGGACTGCTGGTTTGAGTCTCAGGAGGTGGCTCAGGATACCAGGGGGACCCCAGGCTGCAGGAAGGCCCAGGCCGTGGGGCACACTCATCTGCTCTCAAGCCGAGGCCCGGTGACTCGCCTGGGGCCTGCTGGTGTCCTGGCAGCGCGTCGGGCCCGGGCTGAGTGTCCTCTCCGGCGGCGGGATGCCAGGAGAAGACGCCTCTTCTCAGAGGCCCAGGCCTGGGCACGAAGGCACGGACCATGCCATCTTTCCACACAGGCCTGAAGGCGGATGGCCTGGCTCCTGGGCTCTGCTTCCTTCTCTTGGCCGGGGGGCCTTCGAACCGGAGAGATCTGCGGCTCCTCTTCTTCCCTCTCTGGCCCGGGCTGCGAGCCCTCAGCCGGATCTCCTTGGCGCAGGAGTGCGGGCGCTCCTGGGTGGCTGGGCGACTGCTGGAGCTCCCGCCGCCCTCAGGAGGAGTGATGTTGACGGTCACCATGTTCCAGACGTTCAGGACGTTCTGGGCCTTCCAGAGGCAGTGCCTCACGAAACTCTCGCGACTGCTAGACAAATCCAGCCCCGGGAAGGTGTGGAGGGGGGACTTGCCGTGGAAGCTCCTCCAGGCCTTGGGGACTATGGCCCTCTGGACTCGGGGGTGGTCCAGGTGGGGTGGCAGCGGGAGGCGGGTCCGGCTCTGCATCCAGCGCTCCCGGTGCACGGAGATGACTTGGCTCTGAACCGGGCCGCGGCGGTGGTGGGCGGGCCTGGCCCGCAGGTAGCGGTGCCCCCAAGCGGGGCGTGGCAGCGCGGCCTTGGCTGTGCGCAGGTATCTGCCCAGGTGTCTGCTCAGGTAGCTGCCCATGTTCGTGGCGCGGCGGCAGCGTTGGGGCCTCGGAGGGCGGAATACGGCTTCCGCAAGGGCTCCGAGTGTCTGCGGACGCGGAGCACGCAGGGCTGGGGCGACCGTTAAAATCGTGACGCACGGGCGGCACGTGGGGTCTCACGCGGGGAACCTTCTGGACAGGGGTCCTGCGCGAGCCAGGCCCGGGCCCCGCGGACGGGGAAGATGCCCCGGGCGTGCCTGCTGCTGAGGACAGGGGACCCTCCAGATCACAGTGCATGTCCCTGGCGCGTGGCTCTAGGCACAGGGGCCGCGAGGGCTGCTTCGGCGTTTGTACCTGACACTTAGCGGGAGGAAATGTAGTCATTTCGATCGGGTCCTGAAAATTACAGAAAACCGGCAGAATGGCACTCTCCTTCTTCGTTATTGTAAAAATGGCACCTGAATGCTCTTTTAAGGGAAGAGGAATTTACGTTTATTAGTACAGGCGATGTGTGCTTCCATCTTCCAGAACGGTTGCTAATGTCACTTTTTGCAGTTTTGCTCCTAAGAAAATGCTGAATGCGGTCATGATTTTTGTTTTAGCCCTGGCAGCATTGAGTTATGTGGACTCTCCTGTAATTTTCA